CTTGTTAGGCGGCATTTTTTTTTTAAAAAAAGAAAATGATTTTTTTTATTGATCGATGATTGACACGTACACGCTAATTATTTATCCTATTGGTTTTTTTTTTTTTTTTTGGAAAAACAATCTCAACTTTTCAAAGACAAAACGTGAGTGTTGTTTGGTTTGGTATGGTATGGATCTCCTAAAGAATACATACATGTTAATAATAGAGGTACTTTTTTTTATTTGTATTGTCTTTTTTGGTTTTTATAAACATTTTAATTGGAATCAAAACTCGGAGCAGATCTTGCTGGGGTAATTATATGATTTTCATTGATAATATTTTGCTTTTCGTAATTAATAATAATAATATTATTAAAAATATTATAATCACAAGATGTCAAGGCAGCATTGACTGTCGAAACATTTCGATATGCAACGTTTGATTATTGGAATTTTACAGGTGTTGAAGCACGCACGCTACCTTAACATATTACAATCATTCACACATTCCTCATGTACAAAAAGCTAATCTGACCACGCTGCCCCTGATGATACAATGATGCAACCAAATTCCTGGGGAGGGGACCCAAGGCCCTGGAGTTCACCGAGACTGCATCAATCGTCAATGACACTTGATAATCTCCCCAAAAAACCAGAGATGGCTAGACGAAAAGTTACCTGCAATGATCCCACCTCTAGGGTAAGGATGGCTCTGTGACCAAGTCGCAACTCGGAGGAATATTAAGAGAATCTGCAACTTGTTTCAAGCACAGGAGGTTGCAATTCAGAGCAGGGTTAGTGGCCCTGAAATTGCATTTGGACTCTGATGTTAAGAGGAAGTTGTAAAATAGTGTTTGTTTTGTATAATCATTTTCGTAAATGCTCTGTTTAACCAATTTATAATTTTGGGTAGAGGACTAGATGGGTTTTTGCTCGATCAGTTCCCTGTCCTGTAGGTTAAAATTATCGCATGATTATATACATCCTTGTCAGCAATATGGCCGACAAGGAAAAAGTTATAAAATGGTTCAGATTTTGTTTGGTATGTTTTGTATAAATTAATCATTTTCCCAAATTTTTTGCTTCTTTTTAACCTTTATTTGACCAACTGAACTTGTTATTTAAGTAAATGGAGTTAGGGTTGTTGGTGAGTAAGCATGCCACTGACAAGACAGGAGATGCCTTTGGGATGTACCAGCCAAACTCATAGAAAGGGATCTTTTGTCCAGACTTAGGGTCACATGGATGTTAAGCACAGAAAATGTACAC